ACTTCCCTACTTTATAAATCACCATTACTGTGGAACCGGTGGGCCGTTAGAAAATTTTACTACTAACAGAGATACAAAAGGTTGACTACCCCTGGTTTATATGACTCAACATAAATAAACTTGTTTAGAGATTTCTCAAGTTTGCCATGACATGGATAAGTAGAGGGGAAAAAAACTATTTGCATATTTCCTTATATTTTGAGCAGTCCAGCCCTTGTCATCTTCGGAACACGTTGCTGAAAGACAAAATAGCTGCCTTCCAATCTTCATTTAAAGCCCTCGAAGAAACTGAAGAAAAGACAGTCCATATTCTTCCTACTTGTAAGTAGCCCACATCTAATCTCAGTTATAAGAAGCATTTTATTACTGAACAAATAAGATTTGTTAACTACCGAATATTTTAACCAAAACATGTATATTTCTGGTTTAAATTATGATATTTTTGTTTTGGAGGTGAAGGATATTGCAGTGAGAGAAACTGAATGATGAGTTGTATTGTAGAAACTTGTATTGCTGAAAAACCTTAGTCCTTTACAATGGGGATTATTTGGTAATGTTTATATCTGTGTTGAATGCAGCAAACACCAAACTCCCTGAGCAATCAACGTTGAGCCAGACATGGTGCCCGGAGGATACGAATAATGCTTTTGAAGAAAACTTAAATAATAAATTTATGAACAGAGATGGTATATCAGTAGATATCCAGATGCACAGTTCCAGATTTCCACCACAGAAGCCCCTTCTGTCTGGCGCAAATGTTATGCCTAAGGTATGAATTATAGATAGCTGTATAGAGTTAGATAATGCTGTATGAGTTTGCCAACTGTGCGCCCTATACAATGTGGTATAGATAGACCAATGTCTCTCAGCCTGGGGAACTTTAAGATATGTGGCCTTTGTATGTATGGATTCAATATTTAGAATACCTTGTTTAAAATTAAGGAAAAAGAATTATAGTTGAAAAATTGACACATAACAATAATGTATCTATGTTTACCAAATGAACAATTTGTGACTCGATATATAATTGCAAGTGGTAACTGGATAGGATGTGCAAAAACTTGTAACCAAACGACATGCTATATGAAATGGAAGAAGGATGTATGTGTTTTACATTTTTGTTTGTTCTTGTTTATTTAAAAATAAAAAAAATGGGCCTTCAACTTGCAGAATTCCCCAGCCAGTTATGTTTGTTGGGGAATTCTGGGAACTGAAGTCCACATGCCTTAAAGTTGCCAAGGATGGCAAACCTTTTTTGGCTCGCATGCCATGGGGGGGGGAGCGTAGGGGGGTCGTGTGCAGGTATGCCGCACCCATAATGCAACCTGCGACCCCTCCCAGTGCGCATGCGTGCATGAGAGGCCCTCCCCCCATTTTTTGCATGCTTTTTTCGCCCTCCCCAGGCTCCAGAGGCTTTATAGGAGCCTGGGGAGGGCGAAAACAGCCCCCCCCCCCCCCCCGGGAGGCCCTCCGGAGGCCCTTCAGGAGGCTTCCCTGAACCTTCCAGAGGGCTTAAACCGGCCCTATGAGCAAACTGTTCCTGAAAAACTGGCCATTTTTTGTGTGCTCTGGAGGCTTCAGGGAAGCTCCTGAAGCCTCCGGGTGGGGGGAGGCTCTTTTTGGCT